ACTGGCCCAAGGTCACCCACTATCTTTTTGCCTAAAGTGGGACTAGAACTCAATTCTAGTTTCTAGCTTGATGCCACTACATCTGATATAAACACTACACCAATTGTTTAGCAATGTCTAAATGATTGCAAGACAGGAATGTATTTTGGTATTGTTGAAAGAAAAACTCTGGAGTTCATTCCCAGTTGGGACACACCATAGATGCTGAGAAGATAAAGAAGCCAGTTGCCAGAAAGCGGAATTCTTTTAATGTAGGAAGGCAAGAAGCAAAAAGTGACACAGCTCGAGCGTTCCTGGTTTGCAAGCAGATTGGGGAAGTAAACCCATGCCTTCTTATACTTGATTTTCCTTTGAAGCTCCTACAGTTTGATGGGTTTTTATGTGTGCCTTTGGTTGAAGTGATTGCCCTGGATCCTGCCTTCCTGCTATAATGAGTTAATCCCAGTGGTGGGATTCAGCCAGTTCGCACCACTTTGGGAGAACAGGTTGTTAACTTTGTGAGCAGTTTGGCAAACTGGTTGTTGGAAGAAATCATTAGGGCAGAGAACTGGTTGTTAAATTACTTGAATCCCACCACTGGTTAATCCTGTCCCAGGCCAGGACCTTTGTTTTTCCTATCCTGGGGGTTAATCCTGTCACGGGGCAGGAAAAAGGGAATTCTGGTGAGTTATTTTTAGCTGGTTTTGAGTATTTTCGGGATCTCCTTTGTTATTTCTAGTAATAGCTTTTGGCAGTCTGCCCAAACTTGCAATTATCTCCTGAGCACTTGCTTCTGGGTCTTTACTCTGCTAAGGGAAAAGGCTGTTTTTATTTTCTGCACTGTTTCAGGGGTTCCTGGCACTGTCTTCTTTGGGGTACACTTTCCACAGTATAATGTTTTGTTTAAAATGCAGTTCATAGAAGGCTTTCAGAAAATGGCAGAATAGAACTGTAACCAAAAAACATTTCAGTACTAAATACCTGATACGATTATTACATGAAGCAGCAATTGGTCATTTGAGAGATTTCCCTATCTCCTTTCAACCATTAATTCCAGCATATTTAGTTGCAAAGCTAGAAAACAAGATTTGAAAAATTAGGCTTATTTTAAGGGCTTGCTAGGTAAATTATATAATTAGGTATGAAAAGAAATTAAAAACTAAGCCAAAAAACTCCAGAGACATATTTTTTTAAAATATATATTTTTAAAAAAAAAATATTCTAAGGACCACCATTTGTATCAGTTTAAAAGGAAATTGTAGATTGAATTTTTGTAACTACAAGTACCATATTGTAAAAATCCAGAGAATTATATGGTGTCAGCAAAGAGTCAGAAAGAACCCAGTTGATGCTTGATTTTTGCAGCCCAGATATGGAAGCCTTAGGACTGCAAAGTGTAGCATTTCATACAACCAGTTACAGTGTACAGGACAAGATTAATGCTGGAGCAGTGGTGGGTTCCTCCCGGTTTGGTCCGGTTCCGCCGAGCCGGTAGCGGTGACGATATGACGTCACCAAACCGGTTCTCCCTCCCTGCCCTCCCACGTTATTCTTACCTTTTATTTGGTCCCACCCCCAATCTATTGCTGCCTCCTGAGTCCCAGCTGATGACTTGAGGGAAAAAAACTGTTTAAACTCTTGCCACGGGGCTTCAGAGGGCCGTCCTACAGCTGATCAGTGTTAAAAGCAAACAAATGAGTCGGGTCGTAAGTGTGAGGACTGGTTGTAAGTGCGAGGACCTTCCAGAAATGATTCTGACCAGCTAGCCACGCCCACCTAGTCACATGACCTCCAACCCACACCCCCAAAATAAGCCACGCCCACAGAACCGGTAGTAAAACCATTTAGAACCCACCCCTGTGCTGGAGGGTAATTTTATTAATGCTTTTGGGGAAGAGTCCTGGAATTATACAGTCCGTAGTTTATAAACTTTGCCTTCAAGTTTACAAACTGAACCAGTAATGCTTTCATTAGGTTTATCAAAGATTTATAAGGGACGTGGCAAACTTTTGAATTTTCAGGAAATTTTCATTGTGGTTCAAAATATCAGAAAGAAAAGGCAAGAAATAAAAATGAAGCTGGTATAGCTTTGCAACAAATTGCAATCTAAGATGGAGCATCTCTGGAACTATGGGAATTGTACTCAATGTGATATATTGGTAAGATTGTTGGACTCTAACCAAAGAGGGCCTAGTTTGTGGCTGTTCAGATGTGTATGTTTTTGGCTTTGCATAATGTGTGTTCACAGTCATTATCTCTCCCTGATTATTGGAAGGATAAAATTAGAAAGTGTTCAGGATGCAGCTTTGAGAATTGGGGGGAAAGTAAAATATAAATGTAATAAGTAAAATAATCACCTGCAAGATCACCTGCTTTCTGGTTTCCCCAAGTGGGCTTCAGTAGCTTTTTCATCTGGCTTTCAAGCCTTTATATGTCTTTATAACAATTAGTGCTTGGATTTGCTTGCTTTTCTGTTAACTCCATATCACCTCTCCCTCTTTGACATCTTTCTATGACCTGTAGAAAATGTTAGGCATCTGATAAATGAAATTAACCAGATAAAAGAAAGAACACCAGGAACTTTTCATAAATTTTTCAGTAGACTTCTTAAGCTTGGTATGGAAATCCACTTGATTTAAGGCCAAAAATATTTTTACTATCATAGGTCATGTGTCTATGTAATGTACATACGTTTTTCCTACTTGCTATGTGTTTACAAGGATCTGTTTAATATATAGATATGTCATAAAATATTGCATTTAAGTCAGAGCTGAGATTCAGATTTTGGTAGGTCCCCTGGAATTAAAAAGCTTCAAATTTTACAATTAAAAAAAAAAATCTTCCATTTGTGTCTGATTCACAGAACATAGTGCTGGCAGGCCACCTGTTGAGAGATCGCAAAGCTTACTACATGCTGTGCTGCCAGGTGGGCCAAGTGAAGTCACACACTGTTTATGCAGATGACCCGGTTTTCTTCACAGTAAACACTTCTGTCCCAAACATAAACAAATGCTGCAGATATAGCAAGCTATAGAAGCATATTTCAAATGAACAAGATATGGGATCAGGCTGGACCTACTGGCAGTGCCTAGGAGATACAAAATCAGTTACTGAGAGAGAAGAGAGGACTTCAGAATCATGGGATAAGTTAGGAGGCAAAATTGAGATTCATGCGAGCAGTCAGAATCAGAGAACAAGTGACTCTCTCCAAACAAACCAGGCTAAGGATATCTTCAGGAAAGGGCACCTTTCCCGAGCAGCAACCTCAAATTGTTGATTCCCAAAGGCATTCCTTGCTCTATCTTTCTTAATGGAAAAATTGAGGAGTGAAGAAATGGTGGGGATTTTTGTCTCAAAAGCCACCTTGTGGCTTCAACAGAATGCTTTCTCTGCTAAGGTTGGACAGTTGGCTGAGCAGCAAAAAGAGAGGTATGAGAGTAGGGAGTCACAGGAGACCCTTAGCTCCCTATTACTGGATGCAGTGAAGCAGAGGCTGAACAGTGATGCTTAAATTTGAGTTCTTGTTCTGAATAGGAGGTGGCTCAGTGGTCTAAATAGTCCCTTTTAACTTGGTGATGCTATGGCTCTCTAGCACTATACTGTACAGCTTATCATGCTTGCAACCAATTTTCTCTTCACTGTTGCTCATCTGTTGCCAAAAATTAAGCTATTCAAAATTCTTCAGGTTTTGATACTAGCTCCTCATCTCGTATCTGTTCTGGATATAGGCCAGATATATAACTGATGTACTTAACAAATTCACTGGAATCTATCAGTGCAGATATAATAAACTTTATGAGTTCTGGCTCAAAAAGGATTAATTTTTACTAAGAAAGAGTTAGTGTTGATCATCCTCCAGACAGTCATGTCATTTTTTTCCATCACAAATTGTAAGATTCTTACTTACATTCCCACATAAAACTGAGGCAAAAATTATGCATTTTTAATGTTTTTCTAAATAGTGAAAAAAATCCCTGGCTTAAGTACAGGTAGTCCTGAAATACAGGTAACCTTAATACAGGCTTAAATACAGATAGTTACAATGGCAAACAGGACCAAAATTTCCATCACTAATCAATGTGGTTATTATATACAACTACATGACTTTGCAATGGGAGTCACTGCAGTCTCAATTTCTGTCATTAACTGAATTGCAGTGGTTGTTAGGTGAGGACCTCGTTGCAATTCCTGCCAGCTTTTCACAACCAAAATCATTGGGGAACCCAGCAGGAAGTAGCAAGTCAGAGGTGGCTCACAAGCAGGCTAGCATTCAAGTAAATGACTGCTGCTGGGTGGGGGAGAGCATGTGGGGTGCAGAAGTGACTGGAGTGGTGCAGGGTGAGTGCAGCTAGGCTTGAGGTTGTTGTTGCCGGGGGGGGGGGGGGAAAGGAGTAACATGAAGAGAGGGAGGCATGGCAAAATTCAGGGAGAACGTGTGAGAGAGTAAGACAGCGAGGCTCAGGAAGGGTGTGTGGGGGTGCACAAGTGGTGGGTAGGCATAGCAAGATTTGGGGAGGGTATGTAGCTGTGCAAGCAGCTGGTGTAAGCACAGAGGAGCTTGGATGTGTGGATGGGGATACTTTCCCCAGTCTCCTGCATCTTTTCCTGACAACTTCCCATTGAGTTTAGGGGAAGCTGGCATGGAAGGTTGCAAATGGCAATCATGTGATTGCGGGGTGATGCAACCGGTCATAGGTATGAGCCAGTTGCCAATGTGATACAGGAGTACCAGGATGGCCAGTTGTAACCATCATTCATTCAGCGCTGTCATAACTTTGGATGATTGCTGAACGAATGGTTGTAGTTGAGGATGACCTACAAAGAGCAGGAGAAATGTGGCTTGCATTCAGGATTTATGTTGCTCAGAATCACAATATTATACAATGACTCTTCAATTATATAGATAAACTGTTGTAATAGACTAAAAGACTTGCAATTATGACTGATCTTCTGGCAAGGAGAATTATTTATGTAATTTATCTTTAACCTTATAACCATGTCTTTGTTTCCTTTCTCTTTAGTTAGTGTTGCCAGAATATTCCATCCATAGCCTTTTCTGCATAATGTTTCTGTGTGCTCAAGAATGGTTAACTCTGGGCTTGAATATTCCCCTGCTTTTCTATCATTTTTGGAGGTAAATCTAACTCTATTTTGATTCGTTGGTGTTCAAAAATTTGTCACCTCTAGCTCCCTGGCAGAGGTTCTTGTGTTGTGATTAGCTGCCAGACCGGCAGAAATGTAATAAATAAATATCCTTCCTTACATGGAGATAATGTTATGAAGAGAAAATTGTATCTGCTGTGAAGTGTAAGATTGTATGTGTTAATTTTGCCACCTGACATGGGGATATCAAGGGCATGGGTACATCCAGCATGTAAAGCATTGTCTTCTGATGTAGTGACTGATGCAAGGTCTCATGACTTGGTGATAAAGTCCATGTTATATGTTAAAGATACCAGGAGTGGCGAAAAGATACTGTCTTTTGTTTATGTTTTTTGATATGTTTAACATATCATAAAACAAAAGAGCCATTTTGTTTTTGTTATCAAGGTACTGGACTAGGTATGGAGAAAATTAGTTCTACTCTTGCCTTAGACATGGAAGCTAGCTAGGTGACTTTGAGGTAATCTTTCTCAGCTGTAGGAATGATGCAATGGCAAACTGCTTTCAAAAATGTTTCCAAGAAAACTGCATGGAGTTGTTTATATTATTGTCAGGAATCAAAATTGAGTCACAAGTAAAATAATTATAACGCAACTTCATAATTCTACTCTAATGCTCCTTCATCTATGTATGAAGAGAAAGAAAAAGGCACACTCTATAACAGGGGTGGGCAAATGTGGCCCTTTTACAACCTGTGGACTTCAACTCCCAGAATTCCTGAGATAGCCAAGCTGTCTCAGGAATTCTGGGAGTTGAAGTCCACAGGTTGGCTGTCTCAGGAATTCTGGGAGTTGAAGTCCACAGGTTGTAAAAGGGCCACATTTGCCCACCCCTGCTCTATAACATGCAAGAGACCTTATTCTTATCCCTCGTTGTGCCTCACAGCCTTTCCCATAGAGAGTTAATTTTTTTATAGCATAGAGCCTGCTCTTGTGGTGAGAGTTTTGATGAGAAGAGAGTTTTCTTAATTTTGTAAAGAGCTTTGCACAAATAGAGAAGATTCTTACCTGTACTTTAGCCTAATTGCATAGAGGTCTATGACGTTGTGACAAGAATGAAATAGTGAGAGGACAATGAATCACTTTGGGAACAGAACACATGATTAAAGACCTTCTTGTGGCTTGATATAATTTTAGTGAGAATCTTGAAGATTTTCTTGTGTTCTCTTTCAGGTATTTCCATTGTCCAGCAGACAGCACAGAGCTAGCCTATGATCCACCTGCAGTTATGAATGCAGATACCTTGCGTTATTGTCAAAGGGAAGCCTGGTGTAAGCTAGCTTTCTATCTCCTCTCATTCTTCTACTATTTGTACTGGTAAGTATGGCCTCATTTCTTCTAAAAGGCAATTGCTAACATTTAGAAATCTTTCTTTCCTCTCTATGTGCTGCATTGTCATCCTATCTGTTGAAGGGAACAGCTTCTACTAATTCAAGAGCCATCAGGTTGTTAACATTACCCAAACGTTAACCATTAGGTTTGTAAGAAAACTAACTGGATCACTCAAAATATCATAATTTATATCATATATTCAGGTCTTTTTGCCATAAATAAAAGTAATTATTAATTTACAAATATGGGACTTGGGAAAAAACTACTAGTTTTATGGATGACTTTTTACCAGAAGGATTTGGGAATGCTGTTTTTAACTTTATAATGTTGTACATCAGAGTGATAGTTTTATTTTTCTAGCACCAGGCATCAATATTTGTTCACAAACTATTTAGTGAATTTCTGTATGTGAAGCAGCAGACTGCTCCAAATGAAGCACATTTCTTATCTCTTCAGCCAATAAAACAGATTCTGTAAAATGCACTGTAAAAACTAGCATTGTATTTCTAAGAAGGCAGTTTTACTACTAAGGCTATCCATTAATGCTGCTCTACTTAAGTGATGTGCAATCTCATTGTAAGAGCATTATTTGGTATATATGCCAATATTAATTTTATAATGCTTTATATTTACATATGGGCTGTTTTTTGAGAGCATGATTCCAGATTGTGGATAAAACAACATAACTTATGGGAATCATACAATAAATACTTCGTATACATTAAGTAATTGGTCATCATTAATTTACCTATGCAAATTGTTTATTAGCAGTAATAAATGGAGAAAGAACAAAATAAATTACATTACTGTCTGTCCTGCATTTGGGAGGGCATTTGGCATAAACTATAAACTAGACGACCATTCACTCAGACATAGCTGCTTATTGTTCAATCTGATAGCACAAAATCATACTAACTAAATCAAGGATCACCGTTCACAGAAATTTCCTCCGATGATTCCTCATATCTTATGAACAATAGAAGAGAACAAATGTAGCTCAGGGTTAAACTGTGAGGTGCTTGATATTCTCTGAGCTTAGTTGTTTCCTTGCCAGATGTTTTATTACCTGACTAGGTAACATCATCATTGCTAGTGAGTATGGGGTTTGCTCCCTCTTTATTTGCAATAGCTTGCCCTAGTAGTGTTGGCTTTCTTCTTGATAGTTCTTTGATTAGGGCACTGTTCTTGTCCTGATTGTTTGTCTGGTATTAATCTCTGTTTATCTGGATGTTGGTTGTTGGGGAGTTGCTCTGTTCTGATCTTTTTGTTTCCTTATATAAATCACATTTATACATCATTCAAAAAAGGCAATTAAAAAAAAGTTACATGTGTTACGGTCAGAAATAGTTTTTGCTTACCCTTTTCTTTTAAAATCTAGACCACTTATCTCTCATGTTCTAGATAAGTGTATATTACACATACAAAAACCTTGCTGAAATTAAGTGAATATGGACAATTTCACAATGGAATATGATCTTATAAATTTATGCATGCAGCCCTGAGCTCCATGGAAGAAGTAAATTCACAATTAGATGCCATCTACAATATAAAAACAAATCACCATATGTAGAAATAGTCCTATCTCATTTAACTACTACTGTAACATTGAGTGAATTTCATTTGGAATTGTTCTACAAAGCAGTGTTTTATAATTAAGGGCATTTTTAATGGACGCCACAGTATAATTATATTTCAAAAAATTACATTGCAGCTCTTTTAAAATTCTCACTAATTATTGTTCCTTCTGTCCCAGAGGAAAAAAAAGAGAATAAAATAAAGAAGCAAATATATCAGAGAGATAAAAATTCAGAGATGACAAAAATTCCAGAGATAATCTTTCAGAGCTATTGCATAAGGAATGCAGTGACTTAGTGTCAGATTTGTGAAGAAAACGGACATTGTAAAGAAAAATGTATTGCATATTTTCTTGTTAGCAGTGTTGAGTCCATTGTAATTTAAATATAGCCTGTAGAGATAAAATGGTAGCATACTCCCCAAGTAAAGAATTTCATGGTATAAAATAATTTATAAAAATATCAGAGATATGCATCTTTCAAGGAATCTTTTCATATTCTTTTTTTCTGTTTATGTTCAGCATGATCTACGCTTTAGTGACTTCCTAATTCAAAGATTATGTAAAAGACTGAAAACAAAGGTGACCGTATAAAGATCCACCCTACAATGATGCCTAATACTAAAACGCAGCAAAGAAATGGAAACTTTAAATCCAGGAACCGTACAGGATATAAAAAAGCGAGAGATAAAGCCCTATAAGAATAACAGGTGACAGCACAAGTGGAAAAAAATCAAGTGATGGATGGCTGAGCAACCTCATTTTCTTCTTTCCTCCCTTTGTTTTAAAACTTGCATTTTTTTTATATCCTTGGATAAAACAAACTAGATATTTATAATGTGTGAAGTAGACAGTTTCATCTGCATGTGATGGAGTATGACTTTTATTATGTTAATTTGTCTTCAGAGTGCAGGTTCTGCCACCAACAAGATTGTTTCTATAGCCTTTTTTCCCAGAGGGACTTGAAAGCAAGGCAACTATCCTCTGGACCTGCGGTCAAGTAGATGCAGATAATAGATGTGTGCAATATTCTGCATTCAATCATATGCTAGAGAAAAGTTGAGAAACATTTGGCTTTTTGTGATTTCGGTGACTGAAGAAAACATATCTTGGGAGAAAACAGGGCCAAAATACATTCAAACTGCACTCAGTTATTCTTCGTGGTTGATGCTAATGTTCCAACTATGCTGAATTAGGGTAGGTAGTGTGGTAAAATAATATTATGTTATATATAATTATACAATTATGTCAAGCATTCTATAATATTGCATTCCTCTTACTGGAGGAAAAACATGTCCTAGTAATGTAATGAATGCCTCAACAATGTTTTACACCCTGCAGTACATATTAAAAGGTCCAATTTACTTTTGTCTGGAGCTCTGTCTTATCAAAGTAATTGTTTCAGTTGAATTAAATCAACAGCCTTCCCTCCTTCCTTCCTCCCTCCCTCCCTCCCTCCCTCCCTTCCTATGTATCCAGTAGACCTACAACATGGTAGATGTTGTAGAACAAAATGCTGATTGTTTTTCATTTTGTGTAGTATCTTTCAAATTTTGTTTTGAGATATGCTCACAAAGACAGTAAAGATCTGTGCTGATATATTTAACGCTACATTCCCAAACATTGGTTGTGGATAAAACCAGTGAAATTTTCTTCTGAATTAATACAACTAAGAGTTCTCCCTATGCAAAGAACTGCCATAGCTTATGAATTTTGAAGAGAGAAAAGATAAATAGTATAATAGCCTAAAATCTCAGCAGGTGTGACACATTTGCATTAATTGATATTTTATGTTGAACAGAGTGGAACAGCTTATTCCTTCAGCCTCTGTTTTTTCCCATCAATGTGCCAGCTGCAAACTGAAAACATGACTTCCTAGAAAGAAGGAGAAACTGGTAGTGCAACACGTATGTTTTTAAAAAATATTTATTTATTTATTTATTTAAATATCTATGTACCTGCCAATTGTATGCAACATAACCACAAGCAGCTCACAAACAATAGTAACTATAATAAAAACAAAGACTAAAATACAATTTTGCTAAAGTACAAACAAATGTAGAAAGAAATTATGGAACGAAATATAAGATAACATATATTACACTTATTTATTTATTTATTTATTTACAAATATTTATATGCCGCCCTTTTCCCAAAGGACTCAGGGCAGCGAACACAAGTTAAAAAACATACAATAATAAAGGAAAATCCTAATTAAAAACCAATTAAAACAGGGACAAATAAGTAATAAAACCCAAGAATCAGCCCATTTGTTGAAACAGCCAAGTCTTTAGGCCTCGACAGAAGGAACGGAGATCAGGGGCCGACTGGAGCTTGGTGGGTAACTCATTCCAGAGGGCAGGAGCGCCCACAGAGAATGCTCTACCCCTGGACATCGCCAGCCGACATTGTCTGGTCGATGGTACCCTGAGGAGGGCAGCCCTGTGTGAGCGGATAGGATGGTGGGAGGCGGGTAGGAGATGGTCCTGCAAATACCCCGGACCTAAGCCATGTGTAAATATATGCCTGTGTAAAACACAATACCATTATATGATATTGCATACCATTATTATTTGTATAAAACAATACCATTAAAAGCAGCTCAATTTGAACAAACTGAACCTTGACTGCACAGTCATATAATCCTTTGTTTATATCTTCAAAGAACCAGTTTAAAGGTGGAAAGCGAACACATTTATTCAGCTCACAATTTTATACCTGGGCTTGCAGTGTCTATCTAATTGTGAATTTTATTTATTTATTTTATTTTATTCAATTTATATCCCGCCCTTCTCCAAGTGGACTCAGGGCGGAGCACAGCCAGAACTAAAACACATATCAATGCAAAATTTAAAATTATTAAAAGAATTAAATAACTGTGACCCAAAAATTTAAAACATTGAAAACTAAAACCCCTTTGACAATTTAAAAAGCTAAAAACTAAAAAGGGTGGGGGGGTTCACGCCAGCCCTGCTTGATGGAAAAGAAAAGTTTTTAGGGCACGGCGAAAAACCCGGAGATCCGATATCCTTTGTATCTCCGGGGGCAAATCATTCCAGAGGGCAGGAGCTGCCACAGAGAAGGCCCTCCCCCTGGGGGTCACCAGCTGACATTGCCTGGCTGACGGCACCCTGAGGAGTCCCTCTCTGTGGGAGCGCACTGGTCAGTGGGAGGCTATCGGCGGCAGAAGGCGGTCCCGCAAATACCCAGGTCCCATGCCATGGAGCGCTTTAAAGGTGGTGACCAACACCTTGAAGCGCACCCGGAAGACCACTGGAAGCCAATGCAGCTCACGCAGGAGAGGTGTCACATGGGAGCAGCCCCTCGCTCCCATAATCCCCCGTGGGGCCGCATTCTGCACCAGTTGGAGCCTCCAGGTGCTCCTCAAGGGGAGTCCCATGTAGAGAGCTTTGCAGTAGTCCAGGCGGGAAGTGATGAGTGCCTGAGTGACTGTGCGTAGGGAGTCCCGATCTAGAAAGGGACGCAACTGGCGAATCAGGCAGACCTGATAAAAAGCCCCCCTCCACGGCCGTCAAATGCTCTTCTAAAGACAGCCGTGCATCCAGGAGGACACCCAAGTTGCGAGCCCTATCCGTGGGGGCCAATAACTCACCCCCCAATAGCCAGCGATGGCACCAGCTGGCTATATTGGGACGCTGGAAGCCACAGCCACTCGGTCTTGGAAGGGTTGAGTCAAAGCCTGTTACTCCCCATCCAGGTCCACACAGCCTCCAGGCACCGGGACATCACTTCAAGGGCATCGTTGGGATGGCCTGGGGTGGAGATGTACAGCTGACTATCATCAGCGTACTGATGGAACTCCACCCCAAAGCCACGGATGATCTTGCCCAGCAGCTTCACATAAATGTTGAACAGAAGGGGCGAGAGGACCGACCCCTGCAGCACCCCACAAGCAAGGCGCTTCAGGGTCGACCTCTGCCCCCCTGCCAACACTGACTGCGACTGATCGGAGAGATAGGAGGAGAACGACCGCAAAACGGTGCCCCCCACTCCCAACCCCTCCAACCGGCACAGCAGGATACCATGGTCGATGGTATCAAAAGCCACTGAGAGATCTAACAGGATCAGGATAGAGGAGCAACCTCTGTCCCGAGCCCTCCAGAGATCATCCACCAACGCAACCAATGCCGTTTCCGTGCTGTGCCCAGGCCTGAAGCCGGACTGGAGCGGATCCAGATAGACAGCTTCATCCAGGTACCCAGGAAGCTGTCGCACCACCACACTCTCAACAACCTTCGCCAGAAAGGGAAGGTTGGAGACCAGACGATAGTTAGCCAAAACAGCCGGATTCAGAGCAGGCTTCTTGAGGAGGGCCTCACCACCGCCTCTTTCAAGGTGGATGGCAAGACACCCTCACTCAAGGAAGCGTTGATAATCCCCTGGAGCCAGCCTCACATAACCTCCCAGGAGGCCAGCACCAACCAGGAGGGACACGGGTCCAATAAACATGTGGTCGCGTTCAGCCGCCCCAGTATCCTGTCCACATCCTCGGGGACGTGGTGTAGTTGTTTATTACACCTAAGCCTAATGAATCTTTATAAAACAACAAATTCTAAATTTTTTGTAAGCGTGTATGTTTTATGTTTCACCTGTGAAAAGGCATAAAGCATGCTAACTCAGAAATTAGCTCTATTATATTCATTGGTTCATATTCCCAGATATATGAGTTATTGTCTAGCCGCACGGTATGCTAGTGCCTCCGCCGTGAGATGGGGGGATGAAGCTGCCCCATGCGGCCTCAAGGCCCTCACAGCTTGGACAGCTCATGACCTTGTGGCCATGGTACCAGCATGCAGCTTGGGCTCCTGCTCTATTGCGGCTGGGAGCAAACAGAAGAAGTGGGCCGGTGGCCATGTGGGCTCCTGCTGCACATGGCTGCTGGTGCTGCCACTGCGAGGCAGGTGTTGGGGCATAGATGGCCTGGCTGCAGGGGACCTGAGGTATTTTTCATTTTCATTTTTTCATTTTATTTGATTTATATACTGCCCTACTCCCGAAGGACTCAGGGCGGTGAACAGCCACAAGATAAAACACATAAATACAAAATTTAAAAGCAAAGTAAAACTGAATTAAACAGTTTGGCCCTAGACAAATTTAAAACACCCCAATAATTTAAAACAGATTAAAATTTACATTTTAAAAAGGGAAAAAGGGAAAAGATTAGGCCAGGCCAGCCTGATGGAATAAAAAGGTCTTAAGAGCGCAGCGGAAGGTGCGCAGATCCGGGATCCTCCGTATCTCCGGGGGGAGCTCATTCCAGATAGTAGGTACCCCCACAGAGAAGGCCCTCCCCCTGGGGGCTGCCAGTCGACATTGTTTGGCTGACGGCACCCGGAGGAGCCCCTCTCTATGAGAGCGCACCGGCCGGTGGGAGGCTATTGGTGGCAGCAGGCGGTCCCGTAGATAACCAGGTCCTAAGCCACCTTTGGTTACCTAAAGGTGGTAACCAAAACCTTGAAGCGCACCCGGAAGACCACCAGGAGCCAGTGCAGCTCGCGCAGGAGAGGTGTTACATGGGAACGCCATGTCGCTCCCATAACCACCCGCGCGGCCGCACTCTGCGCCAGTTGGAGCCTTCAGGTGCTCCTCAAGGGGAGCCCCATGTAGAGAGCATTGCAATAGTCCAGGCGGGAAGTGACAAGGGCATGAGTGACCATGAGTAAGGAGTCCCGATCCAGAAATGGACGCAACTGGCGAATCAGGCGAACCTGATGAAAAATCCTCCCGGTCACGGCCGTCAAATGCTCTTCTAAAGACAGCCGTGAATCCAGAAGGACGCCCAAGTTGCGAGCCCTCTCCGTGGGGGTCAACGATTCGCCCCTAATAGTCAGTGATGGTGCCAACTGACTATATCGGGACATCGGAAACCACAGCCACTCGGTCTTGGATGGGTTGAACCTGAGCCTGTTCCTCCCCATCCAGATCCGCACAGCCTCCAGGCACCGGGACATCACTTCAAGGGCATCGTTGGGGTGGTCCGATAAGCCAGTGCAGGGCACATGGGACAGTTCCATCACCCCACTTCACCTCGTGGCCATGAAACCAAGAGCAACCAGACAGAATGGTTGGGCGGGTGGCTGTGCAGGCTCTTAAGTAGGACTTATTTTGGGGGGTAGGGCTTAGATGCACATGTAAAAACATGCTAGGTCTTATTTTCAGGATAGGTCTTATTTTGGGGGAAATTGTACCTATCTTGCATTTTTTTCTGATGAAAAATTCTGGAGGCTGAATAGCTTGCACATCATCTTGTATTATCTTCCTTGTATGCTATAAAAGTATTACTTAACTATGGATTTGGAATATTTATATAAATTGCTATAAATTAATTTTTCTAGAACTGGATAATATTAAACTTCACGCTTTCAGTGCATATGTTCAGTAAGGTACATAAGGTTAATGGGTGTTTGGTAAAATAAATTAAAACAGTAAATATTTTTAGCAGACTATAACAATGACAATATTGTTATATTGTCAAATGCTTGTCTGTAACACTGCTGAAATTCAAAGTTGGAATCTGTATAATTCTATGATTTATTAAAATAAATCTTTGCATTTTTTGTAAGGTTTGAGCTATCTGTAATAATTTTGTTGAATGCAGTTAGAATAATTTGTGCTTTGTTTAAAAGTAAAGTACTCAGTTAAAAGGTGTCTTACTGTATTGTATTGTGCAAACTTCAACCTAGATGGACTTGTGTGCCCAAATAGTCCAATATTTCAATTATATTTGAAAAATGTCTTCCTTTAATTTGTAATATTGGTCTTGTTTTAAGAATGGGGAGACATAGTGATGAATGGACACAAATAAGATGTGATCCAAGTATGATTGTCCCATTGAGGCATCTTCTGCTTCCTATCTTTGTGCTTAAATAGAGGCAAGAGAAAGCTGTTTTGAATCTCCATTTCTTTGCATGTGAATGCTTATGTCCTTATGGTCAGATCTACTATGTGTTTGTGTTGAACAAACTTTGAAGGATCTTCTATTGATAATTGGACACAATTAATGAACAATTAATGCATATAACCAGTGGTGGGTTTCAAATTTTTTTACTACCAGTTCTGTGGGTGTGGTTTGGTGGGCATGGCATGGCTTGGTGGGTGTGGCTTGGTGGGAGGGGAAGGGGAAGGATACTATAAAAATCTCTATTCCCTCCCCACTCCAGGGGAAGATTACTGCAAAATCCATTTCCTCCCGATCATCTGGGACTTGGGAGGCATTGAATAGATGGGGCTGGGGCCAGCCAGAGTTCGTATTTACCAGTTCTCCAAACTACTCAAAATTTCCGCTACCAGTTCTCCAGAACTGGTCAGAACTTGCTGAAACCCACCTCTGCATATAACCATATGGTGTTCCATCAGTTGTGATATACCTCTTTGTCACAAGATTGGAAGCAACCACAGAACATAGAATAATAGAGTTGGAAGGTAGTTGGAGGTGTTCTAGTCCAACTGCCTGCTAAAGCAGGAGACCCTATACCATTTCAGACAAATGGCTGTCTCTTTCTGAAAGCCTTAAGTGATGGAGCACCCATATCTACATTGATCTACAACCATCTACACCTTGTTTCCTCTTCTGCTATGAGCTTTTGGAGAACCTTCTTTCGCTGCTCTACAAATTTTGTATGTATTCTGTTCAAATACTCTTCTGTCTTTCTTGGATGAGGTGTCTGTTTACTATATAATCTTGAGTGATAGTTAACAAATTGATCCATCACATCTGTCATTGTGAAGATATTCTTAGTTCTATCCCAAATAAAAATAATATTTATTTGTTCTTTACACTATAAGCTAGCTATTTATCTGACTTCTTGATTTTTCCCTAATATTTTGGTTGAACAAAAACATCTTGTAGCTCTTTTACTTTAAAAAACTTTGTTCTAAGCCTCAAACTAAATATTCTTGGGCTTTAATTCTAATTGCTTCAGTTCATTCACTAACATTGTTTTTGTTTTTGCATACCTTTCTTTTTGATGCCAGAGATATAAACAATTCTGTCTCATAAGTGCTTGTCTGGTGTCCCATACTGTAGTTAAACAAAATTTATTAAGCTATCAGCAACACAACCTCCTTTAGTCTGGAGTTTAATCTTCCAGTTATTGGATTGCAACTTCTGCATCTGCATCTGTAAGACTGGTAAGTTTTAGAGCAAGTGTTATGGACTGAATTTTATTATGTATATTCTTTCTCTGCAGGAGTACTTTTATCACCATGCTTTGAAAAGAGATGTTAAGGACATATTTTGAGAGAATTTATGTATCTATTTATCTAATTTATATCTTATCTAATTTACACTTTTATATAAAGCAGATTTATCTATGTTTGGAGAGGAAAAACGTCTACAAAAATGTAATATTCCTCTGCAATTTGAAGAAGTGATTGAAAATGTTTTGCAGAACTTTATTTTGTTGCTATTTGAGGCATAAATTGAAGCAATTGTTACAAATCTCCCTTGTTCATCTTGGATTTATTTTTACACACAGCTTTTTTAAAGACCCCGAATACAATGAAAGTGTTCATCAAAAAGGAGAAAGGAGGTGCATTTTACCCTCTCCATGTGCCCTTTCTTACCCCAATCTCAACAAATGACAATACTAGTTAACTTAAGCAGGGCTGAATCTGGTTAGAACTTGGGTTGGAGACCTTAAAGAAATAGCAGGACTCTAGGTTAAACTGCAAAGTAAAGAAAATTGCCCCGAGCCAATGGGAGTCTGCCGGCATATAAAGATGATGATGATGATGATGATGATGATATAACTGGGAAGTAAATGCTGACTAACCAACCATTCCCATACTGCTGCATGCATGCATGCATGAATGAAGACACCAGGGCTCAACTTCAGCTTGGATGAGAAAATTTTATTAGAGATAAAAAAGTAGAAATCCAATTTGTTCAACCAACCCTATTGTTTTGGATATGCAAGAGTTGTATTCGAGACATGTAATTATCCATTTTGAACCGGCAATTTTTGCCACTTGGCAGTTCTAAACTGTCTGTCTAATTAGAAGCAGACTGACATGATCTTGTGATCTGCCAGGACTTTGAATTTTCCTGATATATTTTTCTAGTGGAATGTTTTTTATGGTGCTGTTGCTGATTTGTGTATCTGTACATCTTGGATCTCCTTAACTACTGAAGTATTTTTATGTTCCCCTTTTGTTTTTTTTTAAAAATAAAGTTTTATTTTATTTATTTGTTGTAAGATTGACCTAACTTCCCAAAGGGTGGACAATGAAAAAAGAGGATAATTTCTCTAGTCACACATTTCAATTTTATTTATTCATTTAATTTTTATAGCCACCCATCTGTGATGAAAGTGCAGCTGAAGGAGAAGTGGGGGGAATTTTGGTAGTAACACTACAGCTTCCCAGGGAGGTGGCAACACATTCTGGAGAGGGTCAGAAAACAGTAAATGCATATTTCTGAATGGAAGGTGAAGTGCAGGTTCGAGGTAAATATTCAGGCTAGCCACATCCTAAAATAGGGATATATTTGTTAGGTTAGAAGATTATAGCTTTAGTCTGGCAAGATTCTATCTGTTAAGTGCAAGCAAATAAAATTCTGGACTTGAGTGGATCTCACTGTGTCATTTCTGGGGCTTGGGCCTGACACCATCTCAAACATCTCAAATTCTGAGTAGCAAAAAATTCTAAAACCGTTAAAACAATTAAAGCTGTACAAGATAAATATATACAGCAGCTGAAAAAAATTATAATTTTCAATAAAGCCAAGAAATGGCCCTTAATGCATCAGGGTCCCAGGCCTGGGCCCTTAGGCAGGTTTTGGGATTATTCTAATCTCTGAAGCAGGGGTGTCAAACTCACGGCCTGCAGGCCAGATGCATCATACGTTGGCCATGCCCACCCCCTTTTTAATGAAGGGGGAAAAGTCATGATACGTCATGTGACAACAATGTAACAATGCGAGTTTGACATCCCTGCTCAGAAGGAAAGATGTTCCAAAGGGCAAGAGCTGCAGCGGAGAAGGCATGTTTCCTAATCCCTACCAGCTGACATTCCTTGTTGACAGGACCCGCAGCACGCCCAACCTGTCAGGCTGGATGGATAGAAACTATTATGAAAAGTCATCCCTTAAGTAACCCAGTCTTAAGCCATGTAGGACTTTAAAGGTAACAACAAGCACCTTGAATTATACCTGGAAACACACTGGCAACTAGTGCAGCTCATTGCATATCCAACACCATTTATTTGGTGCAGCCAAAAATTCAATATAATGTATACTTTTTATCTTTTAATATAGTGGTTAGGGAGATTATTGTTACTTCAGTACTATGGTATATCTTTGATATGAAACAAAAATAGTATATGTTTATTGATCACTTCATAAGATACAGTTTTCATAGGAAAACTTGACCTAGTTACTTCAGAATTATGTGGCTATGTGCTTCCCAACTAGACAATAAGATTGTATCCATGGACATGAAATGCTTTGTAATTAACTTGAAGATGCAACATTTACAATTATAATAATATTTCATTTTAAAATATTGCCTAGCTTCAAAATGTTATTTTAAAGTATGTCGCACAGTGAAAGCATAAGCCTTTAGAATAGTAGTATGGAAATACCTAGGGTTTAGGCAGTTCGAAATTCTTAATAGCATGGCAGGATTAGTTTCAATTCAGGCCTATACTATTTTGAATAAAAGAACTCATGCATCTATTTGTTATGTGGGTGTATTTTAATACCGACTGTGTGACAATTGCATGATAATTATTCTTAGTAGAGCTGTTGGACAGCAGTCAGAATTACTGAGGGTTACTGAAGTCTATAGACTATAGAGGAAGGAAAAAATATCCCGTTCAGTTGACACAGCATGGCTTGGCTTGAGATGGAAAATGGTGTAATGATGAAGAGCATGGAGATACTAGATCAGAATCCTGATACAACTCTCCAAACCTGTCTGAACCTTGAAACAATTGGAATTCATTCATGCCACAAGGACTGCACTCCAAATAACTGCCATTCTAATATTGCTGATGCATTCAATACGAATTAGTGGAAATATTGTGCTGTTTTTGCTTAGGAAGTAGGGAAATTGTCAAGGTCAAGTAGCACATAAAGATTCAATTGGACACCTGAGCAGAACAGGCTGATAGCTTAGCATTAATTGAAGTTCCACAAATTCAAAAAGACTCTATTGTTTGCCTCTATTGAGTGTCATTTCGCTTTCCCAGCTCAAATTCACAGGGAATTTTTATAATGCAAATAAAAACAATATCAGCACAAAAATAGGAACAATACTGAACAGTTGCAATTTTAAATCTTTCTCCCTCTGTAGTGTCCAGTAAAACACTTGATATAGTATATTAGTAGTGAGTGTTACCAGTGGTGTGGGAAGGTAATGCACAGGTCATAACTACCAAATACAATTAAAGCATATGCTGTCATTTTTGGTTTAATGTAATGCCATCTTCCACTTTAAATTAGTATAACATTCTTACTGATGTGCTAACATGAGCACTCATAATATTGCATTGTCACAATGCAGATTTATGGTGAGCTGGTCCAACATAATTGCAAATATATTTTGAGATTAATGCTTGCATAACTAATTTAGTGCACAACAATCTCATTTCTCAAGAAGCAAAAAACATGTGCACAAAATATCTCAGAAGTAAATGCTAAGCTACAGGAACATTAATGAATTCAGGCACTTACCTAGATGTTCACTTGAAGAGTCTTACATTATAACAGCAATGAGCTATTATATTAGTTGCGTGACATGTTCATGCCATGCGAGTGGGAGAAAAGCAAAACCCAATGATTTGTTTAGATCAAGGAAAATTAGATGGGTGTATGACCCCCATCCCAAATCTGCTGAAGGTCATCATCAGGTGTGATCAATGCAGTCTCAGCTTTGTAATCTAGCCTGAAACCTTACTGAAAAAAGTCTAAATAATCTATTCTTCCCCCACAGTCCTTAGGATGTGCAAGCCTACACCTTCTGCAAATGAAAGTTGTCCAGTTCTACAACATCTTGGGGGGGGGGGTGGGGGGGAAATCTCATACATGGGACTCAAAACAGAAAGAAGCAATAATCAAAAAGACAATATAAACCTGCATATAGTGGACCTATAGTAATTACTTAAAATAAGAATCATAGAAGAACTTTCAGAACTTTCTCTCCCTTAAAGAGACAATTGAGGAAAGGGACCAAATAGTTATTTTAAAAAAAATTTTTTTTTCAGAACAAACAGAGGCTTGTTATTTTATCTACCGCAAGATTTACTGGTGAACCAACGTGATATATTTAGATACATATTCATGTATTTATATCTACTTATATTTATATATCTATATTATTTATTTATTTTATAGACAATAGGTATCATTAATGTATTTAATGATAAGTATACTATAATGATTGCTTGATATTGCTGGATATATGCAAGTATTTGAATGCTAGTGTTTAAATATACTAAAGATAGTACTGTAATTTAAGGAATAGAGATATATAGCATAATATAACACACACACACACACACACACACACACACACACATATATTTCAGGTAGATAGCCTTATTTGACTTTAAAGAAAGAAGAAATTTATTCAATAACTATCAATTAATTAACAAAATATTTAATTGTATTATTAAGTCAAATTAATTTGAATGTAAAGTAAGCATTATAGAGGAATTTTAGAGGTATTTTGTTGATTAGTGAAGTATTGAATGTTAATGATATTGAGAAAGTAGAACTAGATAGATTGCTAGATAGATTGCTAAATAGGGAGTGATACTGGGGGAGGTATTATAACATCTATTT